TCCGCTTTGGTCGGCTGTCGCTAACGCGTCTCGCGCTCAGCGTGTTCGACGTGGCCATATTTAGACTACCATATAGGGCAGTACGAAAATGGGGCATGACGAACTATAATCTGCCTCCGTTGTTACGCGACATATTTTAAGAACAGAAACATCTATGTAACCCCGGGGGCCACGCTTATTCTCATATTTTGAGAATCCGTTGGTGGCCAGCAGAAAACCAGAAAAAGAACTATTCTGTAAGATGATCTTCAATCGTTGGTGGTGTACCAAAAGCCTATCATCTGTAGTCAGTGATCCTCTAATCATCGGTTTACTCGTCGGTGAACTTTATAAGTGAAATATCAGTGAACTCAACACTGTTCTCAAACAATTCACAAACTCAGTTTTAAGCAAACTCATACCAAACATGATCAGTCATTTTCTCTTATTATCTCATTTGTTATTGTTAATTCAGTGGTTAATACAAAGTTGTTTGTTGTTGTTAAATAGTGTCAGCTAATTTATTTTCGATCGTTTAACTGTCCCAACTGTTCTAGCATCCAACTATCCACATAATAGCAATTACCGTCCATCTATGATCTTTTTTTATATTTTTTTTATCAGCTCATCGAAGTCAGAACATTGCCCATTATTAATAATTGTTTAAAGAAAATCCTACAACCGAAAGAAAAAAAATATTGCCGCAAATAGGACTGAACCCAGCTTGCCGAAATAAGAATCGAGCGCTCTTACTACAGAGCAAGCATGTTGACTCTTCGATTATTTATATTGAGGAATCATGACCTACTCGCTTGAGCGTGAAGAGTTGGGATTAAGCTTTCTTGAGAGTTACCACAACTCGCTATTTTTTCCCTGATAAATAAGATGGAGATAGATGAATATACTCAGTGCTATATCATTCGCGGAACAGATGATTAGAAAATTCTGAAATTGTCTGGTATTCAGAGACTTCCCTTTCTTGGAAGGCATCCCTAACAATGTGCAATTTCCGAACGATGTCTCTGTTACCTACACTCGGCTTCATTAATGCCTGCCCCATACCATATAAGTAATTACTGACTAAGATAGATTTTTTTTTTAAAATCTCGTTTAAAATCACGTTTAAAATCAACAAATTTTTTATGTTTTATGAATTGTCATGATTTATTCAATGATTAAAATAGCAGCAGATATATACAAAAAACTGATAAAAAATAGTTAATGAATGTTTTTTTTTCATGTTACAAGATTAAGGTAACAGCTAAGGCACTCCATTAAGAAGTACTCAGTTATTCATTGTCTATCGAACATTCGGTAATAATTGTTAATTTAATCAATATTTGTGAATTTCTTGGTGCCCTAAGACTTTATCTTTAGTGCATCTGTAAAAACTGTCATTTTTTAATTTTTTTCATATTGAGTTTTGTTACGTCCTGAGTTTTATTCTACCACCAAATGGCGTTGAAGCAATTATTAAGGTGTGCAATAAAAACAGAGTCGATTAGTTTATAACCATCAACTCGTTGTCAATGGGCAGAAATCGAATCTTACGATAGAAGTCTGATTTTTTCCCTTATTGCCCTTTTAGTCCAGTGCTTTTAGAGAATTTACTCTGAAAAAACGCATTGGGCTGAAAGTTTAGAAGATAATTCAGGAGTCTCGTAGGAACAATCCTTTCAAAGAAAACAGTGCTTCGACCCTAGCGAAAAATAGGAAGAACTACTCAATAAATAGTTTTGTTAATGTCTCGAAAACTATTAGAGAAAAAAAGAAAATTATGTGGCGTGCTTGTAGATTGAAAAACTCTGATCGAAAAAGAATACGTCACATATATCTGTATCGCGAAGTGAGCTTAAAGAAAAAAAACCCTAAAATCAGTTGTTTTAAAGAGACAGGGTATCTCCTGGAGCTTAATCATGTGGGTCGTGGAGAGAGGGTCAGGTCCGGCAAAGAAATTTATCGGTTGAACCCCTTAAAAGAATCCAAACAACAAATAACATGATGAAGTTGAAAGTTCCCCATTACGTAAAGTAACAAATGATAATTATTTATCAACTATAAATTTATTACACCAAAAGGCAATCATTCTGTAGTGACTCTGCAGCAACCAAATAAAATATTTGACACTTGAATGACTTTAACTTAAGTTCTGCAACGTTATACAATTTCTTCAATTAAATAAATATTCTTACAAAACTTCGAACAGTATTCAATTTCAATAAACAACTCACAGCTCAAATAAAATCCAATTCTATCCGGTAATGTACTTCAATTCCCGAACCAAAATTATTGATATTTCTCCTGTTATGTAATTTTGCTCTTTAAAGGTGTCAATATGTGAACCATATGCTTAACCTTAGAGACTTTAAGTTCCTCTTTTTAGTCCTAGCCTTTCGACCAATAGACAGGGATGAGGGGATCTTCGATAGAGAAAGTAAAAATGTGTGATTTATATAAAAACAATAACAAAATTTTATTGAATGAAAATTATTGCAAAATTATAACAACAATTTATACGTTACCAACAGATGATTCCTATTACTCTGGTCGAGATGAATTACAATTAATTGGTCCTTATTCGATGTTTCAGTCAGCGCAATTATTCACTTTTTCTCGCGAATTAATTTAAATATCAATTTAAAAATAATTTGACGATCAAATAAACTTCATACAAAAATTTACAAACTTTGAAGTATTATCAATACAATACTCAAGACTTACGATTTCAAGAGATGTTAGTCGAATGTGACATAATTAGAAGTCCCTTGCTTCAGGCGCGCACAAGTCCCTTCGCATGGTCTTTTCCCTTTTTGGAAAAGTTAACTCTCTTTTTACGTCACGTACTCTTTTTTTAAAGTTATTGCTTTTCGCTACGTGGGTTTTCCAAAAGCAAATAAATATCTAAAAAATGACTTCCTCAACTATTCTTCGAAATCCTTTTTATTTTAACGAAATCTTAGGAAAACTCAAAAAATAACTTGAGTAATAATCGTTAACCTCAATCCTTAAGTTTATTGCTATTCATTTTTAGCTTTTCTTAAAATATATTTTAAATAATTATGTGAAATAATTAAAATACATTCAGACATTACACTCCTAAATAAATTATAATGAACTAAACTGAATTTATCAACCAATATCACGTGAGCAAACCAAGTGTGGAAGATCAACTATTGTTCATTTTATAACTCTAGATTTCTATGCAGCTATTAAAAATCTCATAAAATTAGACACAATACGATGTACAGGAGCAGCAGAGAATTGGCTGTTCGTTTCAAGTCTCGATTGGTGATGCTGGAACCTTCTTCCTACTTCATGAAACTCCTCTCAGTCGGCCATGTCTTCCAGGTTTAACTGCATTTTATCTTACCCCTTGACATGTTTTATATCTTCTATCTTTAACCTATCAATCTTGAGTCCTCAAAACTCGATTCTTCTCGCCAACTCAACACTACGTCTCAATTTTTTGACCCTTAAATTTTAACGCTTGTTCTCTTTCTGTTGGTTTCTCTTGTTAAAAGATTCGATACAGATTTTCGGAATAATACGAAGAATTTAAAATTTTTTATGTCGAAAACATTATAAATTGAAGAATTACTGTTAGAATTTTAAATTGATTTGTAATCCAATATCAGTAAATATTGCAATTACTGATTTGGTTGAAAAAAAAAACATTTCATCAGAGAAAAAATTATTATTAAAAACTCAACATCGACGATTTTTGAAGAGACCTACAGCACAACAATAGAGCCGTGAAGAACTTCTTTACGGGCAAGTGCGCAAAATTGTTGAAGTTATGTACAAATTTTCTGCTCCAATACTTGGACATCTTTTGCAATCTATCAATGTTACCGATGTTATTTTCCGTTAACCTTATATCACACGAAGTGTGTTTTCATCTTTTTGTAAGGTTACCTTTTTTTTGCCTTGAACTCAAACAGCGAATGGGTTGCTCGTCCAATCACTTTACTATAACGACGTTGTAAGTGAACCGTCATATTGACGAATGTGTGAGCTGAAACCAAATGCCTGGGATTAACATAAAAGCCATTCGAGCAGAGCTCCGACTCGTGGAAAGAGGTTACATTACAGGTGGTACTTAGCTAAAAGAGAAAAAATTAATTAGTAATTGAAAAAAAAAGTTAACTTGTGTTTTGCTTTATATCTACATAAGAATCATTCAGGCAGAACCTGAACTGGTGGAGAGGTGATTGTAGTGGTGACTCTTGGCCTCCAACCCGCTACAATAAAGGTAAAATCGTTTGGTATACCCACAAAGAGGGGTCTACCATGGATCTCCAAAAAAATGATGTTAGCGACGATGGTGGCCCAGAAGTTCGACAAGGCTCAAGTAACAAGATCGGGCTTGGAAATGTCCAATTAACAATTTACCTAATTCGTCTTTGCTGAAACTTTGAGTTATGCTGCTTGTAAATCTGTGTATGCATGAAGTTCCAGCTTTGAAGTGATTTTTGAATCTTAACAGGTAAAGACCACCTCAACATAGATATCTACCACAATTTCTTTATAATTTTAAATCATTTGTGCGTTTATTTGCGAGAGGTATGCGGAGAGCAGGAAAGCGAGCAAGTAGTTGTCAACTGCGTGTCTACGTATTTTAGCTCACTGACCTTAAAGCTCTCATTCACCCCACTGCGTTAGCGGTAGGCAAATGACTTTGCTGCTTAGCATTTTTATTCTTAATTTCTTTCCAAATGCCTGAATATTCTTGAAAAATTTAGTAATAATTAAGTTTCTATAGGTGGCATAAAGGAATTTTGTGCCTGAAAACCTATTGATATCAGGAAATCAGTCTTTCTTGATATAAAGTCATAGTCTGATTAAGGGGTAGAGTAAATAATAGCAAATAAGCGAAAATGTCATTCCAATAATATAAATTTTTTCACGTATTTATCTGTGAAGCGGGATCATTTTTTCCTATTGATTATAAATACTGACATCAGAAGTTTCTAAAAGCATATTGTGCATTTTTCAGTTATATTTATTCGTTCTTATTTCAGATGGAGAAGTTGAGGATAGCAGTTTGGATAGCTCTGAGCAGCCAAAGTTCAGACGAAATCGTACTACATTCAGTCCAGAACAGTTACAGGAACTAGAAAAAGAATTTGAACGATCTCATTATCCTTGTGTATCAACTCGAGAAAAACTAGCTACTAAAACATCATTGTCAGAAGCAAGAGTTCAGGTAATAAACATAAATATGTGATATTGAAAGATAATAAATTAGATAGTGATACTAGTGGTAATCAAATTGGTCAGAAAAGAAAGAAAAAAAAAACATAAACTCAACCGCCACAGATTAAAATACATTGTTACATCTCGTACAAAAAAATTGTAATTACTGTAATTTTTCTCAAACAGCTGTTAAGCATGTGATTTATTATATTCATATACAATTCCACCGAATGTTATGTTCTGCAATTACTGTTTCATTAGGTACTAATGATTCAAAGGATGTTTTCCGCTTAGAAGAACTAGTAAATTCTAGCTACAAACGACCTATTTCTTCTTTGAAATTATGTTCAATATAAACTAATTTTTCCGTTGGCACAGAGCCATGCTTCCCTGTGCTGAAAAGGACATTTTGTTTGAGTACCTTGCCTTATAAGACATAACTCTGGGAGTAGTTCTACCTCTTGTGACGGCGTTACTTGGGACGTAATATTCCCGCGCCTTGAAAAAGTCACAAGCATACACACATCCATCCCGAGGTCTTACGGCATACCACTACAAGTCCAACCTCAATCGACCGAAAGCACATGGTTCTACATATTGTTTTTCGACTTCGCAGCCCCAGGTACGGGGTTAGATTTCAGTCACCCGTAGTACCAGTTTTATCCGCTTTGGTCAGTGGCCTCAGTTGTGTATGGTGTGAGGGGAGACACCGTTATATTGTCACCAGCTAAAAGAATACATAATTAGTATTACAAAATTTCCTGAAATATGTAAAAGTATGCATTAGAGATTATTGAATACCTGAAGATCAAACAAGAAAATGGAACAAAAAAGAGAATTAAAGAATAAAGTCCTTATTCGTTTAGATTAATGTAGTTCCTGAGCTATGTGTTTTTATGACATTGATTGCATTGTCCTACAACTTCTACAGGGTAGAGAATGTCTATTAGGTACTGTAGTTTAATACCAAAAAGACTCATCAATTTCTTGAAGATTTCAGATTCAAATTCTCTACCTTGATCATTGATTTCAATAGGAACACCATATCTACAAAATGTTTCAGTTACTAAAGCCTCAGCAACAGTAGAAGCTCGATGATTAGGCAGAGGGATTGCCTCAGGCTATCTAGTAAAATAATCTGTAACAACGAATAAAAAGTTATTTCCAGAAGAGGTTTTAGTAAGAAAACCAAAAATATCAATGGCAACCCTTTCAAAAGGAGAACCAACATTGTAAATTTGAAGTTGATCACAAGATTTTTTATGAGGACGTGTTACTCACCGTTGTTACTCTTTGGGTAACAACGGTCTCTAATATTTTATAATCGTTGATGATGTCACATCATTTGAACTTTCTGTCAATCTGCCAATTATATCTTGTGCCGAAATATTTTAAACTTTATCAATTAACGTTCCATTTTCTTGAGCTTCAAGAAGAACAGAAAAAAAGTAATATTTATAATGTTTCTCCAGGTTCTCAATAATTCCTCAATCCAACAGCTGTGTAAAAGAAGTGTAGTTGGCTGGAAAAAACATCACAGAAATTTGTCAATCAAAAAGATTTTTCGAATGATATGCAGCATTGTCCAATAAGATTAGAGCTTTTAGTAGCCATTTTTTAGACAGTAAGAGGTGTCTAGCTTGTAAGATGTCTAACTTGAGGTGTAAATTTATTATGAAACCAGACTTTAAAAAGACTTGAATTCAAACAGGCGATGCGTTGATGTGTGTATACAATCGGCAAATAACTTTCTGATATTTTTTTTATTGCACGTGGTGAGGCTAATTTACCAAACACTACCAAAGGTAATCTAAAAGAATCATCTGCATTTGTACAACCTGTAACTGCTAGATGTTCTTCATTTACTTCGAAGCCTGCAACTTCTTCGTTACTGTTTGCAGCTAGAGTTTTCTTCAGTAACATTTTTAAATTTAATCGCGTCTCATCATACTTGAAAATTCGAGATCCACTTCTGTTCACTGATTGTGGATTATATAGCTGCAAATTTGTTACATCCATTCATTTTTCTATCCAATTGTTTTACTTTTTGTTCAGTAAAAGGTACTGTAATGGGTATTCAATTACGACGACAATAATCAAACTAAATTTTGACTACTTCATCCAATTCTTTGTTTCCAGCCCGTCGCATACGTTGACGTTTAATGAAATGGCTATCTTTGTTCTCTTTTAATTGTTTTTCCTGTTTTTTCCATCTTTGAATTGATACTCGACTTACTTCTAATTTTGCAGCCAGCTCATTAACATCCTCGGCTTTCACCTTTGTTAAAACGATGAAGGCAATGTATTTTTTTATTAATTGTTATTTCCGTAGTTTCTTATCTTTAAGGTTTATTTAATGTATTTTCATTACTTTCTTTGGAAACTGACATAGTTAACAGAGTTGTTTTAAAACTGAATTAGTGAAAACGACTGTCATTCAGTGGATATTCACTGATTGCCAGTGTCAATCATATCACTGAAATAATCAGTCAGTGGATTAGCACTGGATATCTTGAATAGCTGTATGTGGGACCTTCTTCGATTTTATGAGGAACTTCTAAACCAAACTCGGTAAAGAAATTTGCGAGCTTTTCCTCTCTGGTGTCGAAGTCTGATGACCATAGAGGATATCGAGTGTTCGTATCCATAGCGATAAGTAGTTGCTTGCCTTTAAAAATTGTGGAGACTTTTTTTAGGTGTTCAGTGTATTTTAATTCGATATTTATGTTGGCAGTGATGTGGAATAGCATAAAATGAGTAACTAAGCCTTCCAATAAGAGCACACGTGCAGTGTTCATCAATATAGAGCATTTTAACAAGAGAGTTAACTACGACAATAGCCGATTTGGGGTTTTCCGATTTATGGGTCTGTGCGGTGACAAGGGCTTGGCTAAATCCTCTAACTACGTAACCTTGTTGACTGGCATTCGTAGAGAAAGACTCCTGTAATAGCAATACGTCTAGTTGCTTTTCTTTCACGAGTGCAGAGGTGTTTTTTGTAGAATTAATGTTGAGATGAAGGTTTATTTGAAGAAGCCGAAGTTCATCTATTATTCTAATATTGGCGTTCTTTGCGATATTTTGGGACGGCGTTTGACTACTTAAAGTCAGGACGGCGCTTTCGCCCGCTTTTTTATTTTGTAGTTCGCATGCTGTGATGTTTTGATTGGTTGTTTTATTATTTTTATTAATAATACTATTTATATTAATATTACTGTTGCTGTCGGCTGGCTCTGCCGAAACCCGTTGCCGAGCCCTGGCTTTCTATTGCGAGAGGTAAAAAAATACCGTTTCTATGCTTATTATGCGAGGCCCAAAGAGGCCGCGCATTTTCGGTCGAGTAAGGCTCAGTGAGCATTTACGAATTCGAAGTACGCTACCCATCGGGTCTACTTGATCATCCAGTCGAGTTAGGAATTTAAAGCATTCTTTGGTCTGAGTATAATCATATTACGACGCGTGGTAGGGACGGACTGATCGCGATCACGTGCAGGTGGCCAGGTTCGGAGACTGGCTGTTAGCCAGTTAAATATAACTAAGAATCTATAACTCAAAAACTATTATTTATTTCTTGATAAGACCAATTTCATTCGAAAGAGCATAAAAAATTACGAGATACGTGTCTTTGCAATTTTTAAAATAATATGGCAATCGATGCCAAAAAAACTATTCTCATAATATAAAAAATTACTAGACTTTAGCTCGAGAAGAAAAAAAAATAGAGTGCACAGTTCAATCAGTTTCTTCGACAACTCACAGTTATACTATACAACCAACGGTATCAGCTGATGTAAAACTTCTCACTCCCCTTTTTTTTGTGTTAAAAGAACCAACTGGAAAACTTGGTCCACGGGTAGAAGTATTGCTTTTTAGACCAGATAATGTACACGTAGAAATATCGAAATCTGGAAAACTTACTGCAGGTCAAAAATTCAATTCAAATACTATATTATATAATATATTCTGGAAGTTTACATACCAATTTTTTTTAGAACACGTAAAAATCTAGTTGGAGGATGTATTTTTTTCCGATTATTCGCTTTTGATTGATTCGTGGACCACCGGATAAGGAAATTGAAATAATGATTATTCCTAAAGGGGCCACTGAACAAATTCAACCATTAGATGTTTTTGGGTTTAGGATATGGAAAAACTTTGTAAGACATTTTTTAGACAATGACCTATTACGAGGAGATGATTATAATTTACACTCGAGAAATAATATTATTTAATTACAATTACTGACCCATAATCATATAACAAAGCAATACTTATTTCGAATTCGATTGTTAAAGCTACGAAATCACTTTTTGGAAATCTATTACTATATAATGTAATTATACCCATTACGTGGATGAAGTTACGCAAATCAGCTAGTATATACATACTTATAGATAGGCCTAAAGAAGTTTTAGTTTAATCGTGTTGTCTCAAGCAGACCATTCAGGAATCACTATGTTGTGTTTTATTTTAAACAGATCGAATTTCAACATCATGATAGTCCTTATGCACACATTTTGTTGTGTCTGAATGATGCTCTAGTAGATGCACTTGGTAGGGACAAACATACTATAACGCTGATCGATCAATTGATATTGGTTTTGTCAACAAAAGCTTCTAGATATATTCGTTCGCAAACTCACAAACATATATTTACCTTCCACGAAAAAATTAATGTTAATTAGTCTTAAAAGTACAGATTTGATGCTCTATTCATGCCATTCACCACGGTATTGATACAAATGTAGAAAAATTATCCACGATATGCCAGCTTTGGTAGACAATATAAATAATCATAAATCAACCTCGGAAACAATTATTACTTAAACATTAAATCTTTTTATGAAGAAAATCAAAGTTCTTCTGGCAAAGATTACTTTCATACCACCCAAAGAGTAACAACGGTGAGTAACACGTCCTCATAAAAAATCTTGTGGTCAACTTCAAATTTACAATGTTGGTTCTCCTTTTGAAAGGGTTGCCATTGATATTTTTGGTTTTCTTACTAAA